TATACCTGTGTATTATTAATTTTGTTTAAATTTCTTTTGAATGTTATCTTTCCTTTCTTGAACTCATAATTTGGTATGCCCCTAGTGAAAAAAAAGTATTCTATTAACCATAAACAACTTCACAAAGACCCAAGTCTAGAGATTTTGTATCTGCAAATGCTTTTATGAATATCTGCTGGATATATATGTATGTGGATCGTATGTCTACACTGCATTTTGATAAAAAAATATTCCTGTAACAAAATCACTCCTGGARTCATGTTGACAGCTCACCTTCTAATGACGACAGGTTCTAATGGCACAGGTTCTGAAGAYACATTATTTTTTTTCTTTTTACCATCTAATCGGAATCCCTCTCCAGTAAAAGCCTGTGATYATAARCAAATCATTGCCATCAATAAAAAGATCAACAGAAAGCCAYCATCCATTATAAAGGCAATACAGTGTAGTATAGTGTCATCACTTCAGAGAGATTTATAATAAACCCTCAACCATGACCGTAACCATGACYTCTAGTGTTGGTGACAAGAGGGGACTATGTACTTTCCCCTGACACTCATTCAAAGGGATGACAAWCTTAAAATCAATTTGTACACTTAATATAGATGTGTAAATGCTYTCCCTTTGCTTCCCCTAAACATGAACTTACCAATTTGGTTACTTGTGTGGCAGGGTGGGGCATATCTTTCTCCTTTGAACACAAGAAAATGTTATCATATCTCACAACATCTAACAAAATCAATTAGACTTTCACAAAGCCTTCTGGCTCCCAGCTGTTTTTTTTTTTTTTTATTTGTGCTCAATTCCTGAAATATGCTATACACCCTTTTAATAAATCCCGAGGTATTGTGTTCTCTGCACTTGACGTCAAATTTATTCTTTTGAATTCCTTTTGTATCGTAAAAATTTCAAAAGAATAAATTTGACGTCAAGTGCGGAGAACTCGATACATCGGGACTTATTAAAAGGGTGTATATTTTTGTGAGTCCAAATAGAGCCCGACTTGTGACAAATCTAAACATTAACTTGTAAGTTTTGTTAGCAGGTTGTCCAATTCAAAGTCACAAATTAAAGTTAAGTGACAATAACTGTGGAGTACAATATATATATATAACCTAACCTCTTCCATTTTTTGTTGTGTCTTTTCTTGTCTGTTTGGTTCAACATAACCAAGAGGTGCTGCAAACTCAACCTGTAATTTAATATAAGAGGTGTTAATAAGCCATGTAAATGTACAGACTGAAGTAAATAAAAGAAAAAGTGTTTATCATCATCATCTACACACTCATCGCACCAGTTGGCACATTAGGACCAAACTTACCCAACTAAAACTGGAAGTACTGCTGTTAAAGCTACTAATTATATCATCAATGGGAAAAGTCCGAAAGAGATTGCATTAAATGAAGTAAACTCCAAGTTATAAATCGTGACAGATACTGCATAGAAGACTACA